TGTGAGCATATATCACAACTTGTTCAGCCATTCCACAATTGATAAACATATTTTTAAATTCCAACTCTTTGCCACCACAAAAAGAGCTGCTAAAATATTTTTATACAAATAGGCTCTTTCCCCTCTTTTTGTTAAAATTTCTTTGGGATACGGACCCAGTAGTGGCTTCATTGGCTTTTTTAAAAAGTTTTTGGTGATGTATTTTGAATTTTTTATCATCATAATTTTTCCCAGCATCTCTCCCCTTCCCATTCCAGAGAGCCATCCCACATATAAAATAGTATTTTAAGACAAAAAAATGGAAAAAGGAAAAAAAATCATCATTGCTTGATTAATATATCAAAAAGTCTAAAAATATGTGCAATGCGCAAAATTTGTATACCTCTAATCTCTACAAAAGAGTGATGGTAGGGTAGGAGTGCTTTCTATCTCTGCTTTTAAGTCATGCTTGTTCTTTGTAATTTTGCAACATCCACTTTTGATTGTGTGTGTGTGTGTGTGTATGTTTCTGTTTGCATTATTATAGTTGTATATATTGTTTTCTTGGCTCTGCTTACTTTACTCTGCATCAGTTCATGTAGATCTTTTCATGCTTCTCTGTATTCCTCGCTTCTGCAGCTTCATACAGTACAATAACATTCCATTATATTAATGGACCACAATTTTCAGCCATTCCCGAACTGGTGGGCATCTACTTTGTTTCCAATTCTTTGATATCACAGATGAGATAATATAATATCATAAAACTAATAATCATAAAACTGATGATACAAAAAGTGCCAATATATTTGGAATCTTTGATTCTGAGGGCATGAATATTTTAATAACTTTGTTTTCATAATTCCAGATTGCTTTCAGTGGTTTTACTAATTTAAAATGGTTTTACTAATTCACAATTCCACCAACAATGTACCAGTGTGTCAGTCTTCCCATAACCCCTCCAATATTGACTATTCCCATCTTTTTCTTTATTTTTGCCAATTTGTTGGGTGTGAGGTAAAACCTAAGGATTCTTTTGATTTGCATTTCTTTTATTATTAGTGATTTGGAGCATTCTTTCATGTGATTGTTAATAGTTTGTAATTCTTCTTTTAAGGACTGTTTGTTCATAACCTTTAAATATATCTATTGGGTAGTCACTTTAGATTATTATTGTATCTATTAATTGTTTATGTAACTTGGATACCAAACTCTTATCAGAAATTTGATACAAATGTTTTTTTTCCCCCATTTTACTCTCCCTTTTTATTCTTGGTGCATCAATTTTACTTCTGTAGCAGCTTTTCAGTTTCATATGATCAAAGTTATCTATTCTATTTTGTGTAAGTACCTCTATTCCTTGTCTGATTAAAAACATCTACCCACAGTTGTGAAAAGTATGTGATCTGTTTATGTCCTAATTTTTAAAAATATTATGATCTTTAATATTAAGGTCATATATTCACTTACAATGTAAGGTAGTATATGGTGTAAAGTGTCAGTCTAAGCCTAATTTCTGCCAGATACTTTCCAGTTTTCCCTGTAGTTTTTTTCCACCCAAATAGAGATGTCTTTTCTAAGTAAATTAAGTTTCTTAATTTATTGAATACTTGGTTATTGAGTTCCATTGTTCTATTGTTTCTTCCTTGTGTCTAGTCTGTTTCATCTGCAGTGGCTTTCTAGCTCTAGGAGGAGAACATACCTTATGAATTGGTGGCAACTGACCATTCTAGGCTTCTCTGCCACACCTCTTGGCTTACTTACCTTGTCACCACCAGTGACTGACTGCCTTAATCAGCCTTACATCTCAACAAGGTGGAACTACTGAAAAGCAAGTATAAAGTTGCTATATTAGCTAATGTATAACTTTGGGGACCTCTGAACACGCTAATTTTGATTCCCCTACTTTTGTGTAAGGCAGCTAGGTGGCACAGTGGATAGTGCTCCAGAGCTGGAGGCAGGAAGACATGAGTTTAAATCTGACCTCAGACACCTACTAGCTGTGTGACTCTGGGTAAGTCACTTGATCCTGTTTGCCTCAGTTTCCTCATCTGTAAAATAAGCAGGAGAAGGAAATGGTAAATCACTCCAGTATTTTTGCCATGACTGAACAACAATTATGCTAATTATTATCCTGATGTTGAATCATCTTTGCATCCCTGGTATGAATTCTACTTGCTCTTTGCTAATTTTTTCTGGACATCTTGCTATAGTCTCCTCACCAGAATTTTATTTGAGACATTTTCATCAATATTCATCAATGAGATCCATGGATCTCTCAGTTCTACTTGACCTTACCATCTGGGCCCCTGAATTCCTTGACCCCATTCTCTTACAGCTGGGGTTACAGTTCTTTTCCTCTCTAACCCCCTCCCCCTCATCCTTACTCAGCCACTTCCATCATCTGCAGCCACTGAAGCTGGATGCCCAGGTACTTGGGAAGATGGTGGGACCAATAACCCATGTGATCTTGGGTTGGTCACCTATCTTCTCATGGCCTCAGTTTCCCAATCTGTAAAATGAGGGGACCTTTAAAGTCCTTTCCAGTTTTAAATCTATGATCTGATGATAACAGGATTCATCAGAGATGGTATAGAGGGTATTCTTATTCAGGTTTAGTTGGACTAGATGGCTACCTTGGTCCTTTCCAACTCTGAGATTCTGAAATTTCAAATGGAAAAGGGCTTTAGAGGTAACCTAGTCTAACACCTTTACTTTACAGAATAGAAGAATGCAGGGCAGGAGGGAAGTGACATGTCCAAGGTCACATATCTACATGCCTGGAACATAGACCTGTTTACAGGTATTCAGAGAAGGGTCAGAGTCACCCTGACCTGTAACTGCCAGAGTAGGCTTATACTGCCCAGTACCTGTTGCTCTGGATACCAGGGGCAGGTCAGAAGTCAGGGAATCCTTACTTGTCAGTCTCCCACAGCCATGTAGACTTTTGACCTAGAGATTAGAAGTGGACGCTTTGGTTAATTTGGCTTGATTCCATTTGGTACATTGCTTCAAAAGTAAGAAAGTCTTCTGCACATGGAGGCATTAGGCCAGCACTGGACCAGCGGGCTGCTGGAAATCAGCCAATGGGACTTTAAAAAGACTTCCCTTCCACCTCACCTGTGACTCAATGACCCCTGCTTTGGGCTGTGTGGCCCTCAAGACTCTCCTGCCATCTATGTCTGTTGGGTGCAGAGGCTGATTCATCCTCCTCTATTTGTGGGTTCATGTTTGGGAGCCCTAAATTGTTGAAAATCTCTTGTCTATCCAGACCTCCTTTTCTTTGTCCCTTCTCTCTTCCATTATCCTTTGTGTACCCCCTCCTTCCTTCCCATGGGAGAGTTAGAGAGGCAAACCTTGGGGTGGTCATCACAGGAGACCTGGTTTCAAGTTCTGACTTTGCTACTAACTTGTCCTTAGTGAAGAGATATTTCAGTATATACATGACCAGTTCTAGTATTCCCAAGATAATCTTCATGAGTTGTTTCAGTCAAAAAATTTCAACTGGGTGATGAACTTCTCTGAACTTAAGTGGACCACTTTTCAGGCATAGTTAAACAGGGGTTCCCTTTGGGTATGGGTTGGACTAGAATTCTGTGATTCTGTGATCTTCAGAGAACAGCCAAGGGCCATCAATTGGGCTCAGAGTTAAAACTTGTAAAAGTGGATTGGTCCAACCAAAGCTTGTCTCTTCCTTCAAGGACTTGGGGTCAAACCTTGGCACAGTGAACAGAGTATGGGACTTTCAGTCAGTCAGAAGGACCTGAGTTAGACTCCTGCCTCAGACACTTAACAAGCTGTGTGATTCTTGGCCAGTCATTTAACCTTTGCCTGCCTCAGTTGCCTCATCTATAAAATGGCCAGAGAACCCATCTTCCAGGGTTCTTCAGAGGACAAAAATGACATCATATGTTAGGTACATAATGGTTACAGTGCTGAACTTGAACTCAGAAATACCTGAGTTCCATATCCTGACTGAGACGTGTGATCTTGGGCAAGTCATCTAACTTTTCTCAGCCTGTTTTGACACCTGTAAGATGCGGAAAATAATAGCACCTCTCTCAGGGTTGCTGGTGAGAATCAAATGAAATAGCAAACGTAAAGCACTTTGTAAATCTTACAGTGCTATATAAATGCTAGCTATAATCATCATCTTCATCATCATCATCATCATCATCATCATCGTCATCGTCATCATCACCATCTTGGACCTGGAGAATAAACAAGAAAACACTTCCATCCTCTTAGTGGGGAGCTAGGAAGGACTGACTACAGGTACAGAATGTTACCTATGCTGTTAGATACTGCCAGCTCATAGGTTGGTCTTGTTTAACTTTTGTGTTTCTCAGTGAATATTCACATATGTAAAACCCAATCACATTTTGATTACTCTCTACCAGGTAATTTCCTCTAACTGGAATAAATCAGGTCCACACATTATTTTCAATGAAAGGGATTTTTGCTATAATCTCTATTGTTATACTGCTATACTATACTTTGCTATACTGGCAAGAAGGCATTCCACTCTTGTGGGACAGAAAATAAGTGTTGTAAAAAAAAAAAAAAGCCTTAAAATTTTTAAAAAGTCTATGGGGGTTCAATGACCTCCCACCCCCACCCCAGGCCATTGTGAGTCATTGAATAAAAGACTTTAGAGGAGGGGTGAGATAATTTAAGATAATAAATAATTATTTCAATAGAACTTTACCTTGACCTAAGAGTTCTTTCCTGACAACAGGTGTGGAGTATTATTAGCCCTATTTTACAGATGAGGCTGAGAACCATTAAGACATTTGACCAAGTCCACAGCTAGGGTCGGCGTATAGAGGGGCTGCCATTATTCTTTTCTGACCAAAACCTTTCCCCTGACCCCAACTCAAGATTTGACATAGTTCAGTTTTAGTATTTATTTTAAATCCACTTTTCAAAGTAACAAAGGATCCATTCTGTAACAGAGGTCATTATAAATACACGCCAGGAAACAAGAGTAGTACAAATCTCCCACCCCCCCATCCCCTCAGCCCCAATAAATAATCAATAAATACATATTTATAAATACAGCTGCTTCTCCCAAGCCAGGGAGGCAGGAAACATAGATGCCATCATTGGCCCCCTTCAGCTCCATTCTTTGGCCACAGCTATATAGGTGCCAAAGGTGATCACCCCCAGCCCTATTCTTCAGTCACTCTGGATTCCAAGTCTAAAAATCAGCTTTGGAATGCCTCGCTAGGCTGGGGAGAAGGGACCCTGGATGTCCGCCCTTCCTATACTGCCAATATCCAGCCTCTCCCACTATGCAGGTTCAACTGGGTCAGGCGCAGTGACAGGCCTTGGGGACCAGGTCTTCAAAGGGCGTGAGCTCCACGTGCCCATCACTGCCATAGTGCATGAGTACCATGGGCTCGTAGGCAGAGGGCACGCAGCAGGGTGGGCCCACAGCAGCGGGGGCCACGCGATGCAGGCGCGCCTTGAGCTGTGCGTGCATGCTCGCCGGTCGGTAGTTGTGTGGGCAGGAGCCCTCGCAGAAGCGCATCTCATAGTCACGCGGCGCCAGCACCCAGTCGGCCCAGCCAAGCTCGTCGAAGGACACGCGCCGCGAGTGGGCGCAGCAGCGGTGCCCGCTGCCCTCTTCGCAGTCTTTGTCGGGCTCCAGCGATCGCGCCCTGCGGGGCTCCCTGCGGGGCAGCCCTTGGAACTTCACGCGCAGGATGGCGCGCGGGGCCTGAGGCTGTCGGAGCAGCTCTCGGGACACGTCGGGAGGCAAAGTCAGGGGCAGCCGCAGCACGGGCCCTGGAGCTCTGCCTTGCTGGAGCCAGCGCTTCAGCGGCCGCGTCAGGTCGAGCCTCAGGCTCTTGGGCTCAGCATGTAACCGCGAGGTGGCCCACTCAGTCGGGGTCCGTGGGGAAGGTGGCAGAAACAGCCGCAGGTGGGCGCGTAGCACCCGCGGCACCTCCCGCATCCCCGCAATCAGAGCCTCCCTGTCGATCAGCAGGTGGAGGCGCACATCGCGGGAGTTCTGACTGAGCTCAACTGTGGAGAGAGGGAAGAGGGAAAGGCGTTAGGGAGCTAATCCACCCTGCCCCAGGGGCTCTCCCAGCCTGTGTTCTGCTCCAGTCACCCCTCTCCACCCGAAACACTGGAGGACAGATTTGGCTTCCAATTCCCTATTCGGCTTCTAGCAAAGTTCTTCTCCACCCCCACGCCACCCCACCCCACCCCACCCCACCCCACCCCACCCCACCCACCAATACCTCCGGTCTGTAAAACTGAAGTAATGATCTCTTTCTCTCTCTCTCTTTTTTTTCACCCAGGCAATTGGGGTTAACTGACTTGCCCAGGGTCACACAGCTAGTAAGTGTTAAGTGTTTGGTCTGAGGCCGGACTTGAACTCAGGTCTTCCTGACTTCAGGGCCAGTGCTCTATCCACTATGCCACCGAGCTGCCCCGGTAATGATCTCTCTTATGGCTTTGTACAGTACGCTTGCGGTCTTCTCAGGATGCATCTAGGCGTGTTTCATGTATCCGATCTCTGCTCCCTTCTCCTTACCCAGGTCCCTAATCCTCGTGTGTCGTTTGGCACTGTCTGAGCCCCAGGGAACGCTGTCCTGCCCAGGAGCTGGGAGCAGAGATGCCGAGAGCCCTAAACTCCAAAGTTAGGAGACCTAGCTAGCTTCTAGTCCTGGCTTTGATGCTAAAAAAGGTTTTTGTTTTTGTTTTTTTTGTTTTTTTTTAAACAACCCAGTCATGAAATAGTTTTAAGATCTCTTCCAACTTTGTCATCCTGCGTTCTACCTTATAATTTCCCCGGGCTGTCTGTACTTTCTACATCCTCTCATCTGCCTCTTTATTCCAATCTCGGTAAGGCTCCGGACCGCCAGATCGCTTACGTTTGGGCGTCAGGATCCGGACCTTGGGGGTGCTGGGACCCGAACTGCGACCCGAGCCCGTCGCCTCCTGGCTCCCGTTGGTTCTCAGCTGGGCCAGTGCCTCCTCGTAGCGGCGCTGCAGCCTCCAGACCTCGGCTGCGCTGAGAGGCAGCGGGCGCGCTTTGGGGGGCGCGGACAGCCCGAGCCGGGCCAGGATGGCGCTGCGGATGGCTCCTAGCTGCACGCGGTGCTCATGGTCCTCTGGCGGCGGCTCTGCGCCCCTGCACGGAGGCGGTGGCAGGAGCAGCAGCAGCAGTAGCGGCGGCAGCAGCCGCAGCTGACTGGGGCGCAGGGAGAGACTCACCATTGCGGAGACAGGACAGCAGCGGTGGAGAATGAATGGGCTTGACCCGGCTTGTCCTTATATTGGGCTGGACTTTGACGCCCCTTCCCCCCCCTTCCCCGCCCCCTTCAGGTTCTCCGCCCCAGCCTTTAATTGGGAGTAAACAAAACGGTTTTCCGGCCAGGTCGGGAGAGCAAGGGGGAGCGGGGGGTGTGGCAGGGAGGCTGGTCTTGGGAAGGACATAATGGCCCCAACTCCTGTTCCCTCCCTGTCCCACTTTACCTCCCCAGTACATACTCCTTTGCCTTTCCTCTTAGATTTAGCCTAGAGGCTGAATCTTTAAGAATGTTAGAACACAGGATGTAAGGACTTGAGCCCTTAGAGATCAGCTCATCTGGTCCAGTCTCTATACGTTACAGAGAGGAAACAGACCCACATTGAAGAGATGGCCCGAATCAGCCAGTCAGTTTTTGTTTTTGTTTTGGAGGGGTGGGTGGACACAGAGCCTGGGTGGGAGAAAGAAACATGTAGACCGGAGACGGTGCAGGGGTCCTTAGGGTCGTAGATTTAAAGCTGGAAGACACTCATTTGATGGATGAGGAAACTGAGGTCCAGAGAGAGTTGCCGAAAGTCACACAAGCAGTTAAGTATCAACGGTAAAATTTGATTGTAGGATCACATATTTAGAATTGAAAGAGTTCTCAAAGACTGCTAAGCCCATTTTACAGATGAGGAAACCGAGGCCACAGGAGACGAAATAACTTGCCTAAGGGTACCCAGTGGAAAATATCAGAAGTAGGATTTGAATTCAGGTCCTCTGACTCCTTTGCCAGTGATCTTTCCACTGTACCACTAGGGACTTTCACACTTTGGCCAATAGAAAACTAACTGTCGGCACTGATCAAGGGAGGGTTCACAGGTATGTTTTCCTTCAAAGGTCACAGTATGTTAGATCATCTAGTTTCTGACTCTGACCCTCCTCCACTGTTAGCCCTCTCTCTTTCTGGCCCAGTTTGATTGGGAAATGACCAGGTGGCCTTTGGAGGCAGGGAACCTCCACCAGGCTTGTTCTGAGAAAGGGTAAAGTGGAGAAAAGGAATGGAGAAAGAGATAGAGGACGAAGTAGAGGAAAGGGCGATATGTCTGTACACAGTACACAGAAGAACCCAAACATCAGAGAGATAAGGGACCTCAGAAGCAGCCTGACTCAGTTGGAAGGAAAGAGACCTTAGAATATGGAATGTTAGAACTAGAAGGAACTGGAAAGAATTTGCCTGCATGGGGAGGAAAGGACTTTGGGTGGTGGGGAGTGGGGAGAAAGAGGTGATTCTGGACCTGTGTAGCAAACTCTTTCCTTTCCCAATGCAGTTCAGCAACTATTCTGCAATTAAGACTCTTAGAAAATGACCTGTGGGCACTGAGAGATTAAACCACTTGCCCAGAGTCACACAGCCAGGTCTTCCCGACTGAGGGATAGCCTTCTCTCCACTATACTGTATCAGAGCTAGAAAAACTCTTCAAACATAGGATCTGGGATGTTAGAGTTGGAAAGGATTTTAGAACATGGAACACCCCACCATAGCTGGGAGGGTCTATGTCACCTTGGGCATAGAACTTCAGAACTAGAAGAAAGCTTAGAACATAGAATTTCAGAGCTGAAAGGTTCTATAACTTAGTTGTTGTTGTTGAACATAAGAGTGGTGAAACTGGAAAATGCTCGAAGACTCAGAATGTCAGCAGAAAGGGCTATTAGAACATGGAATGGCAGCTAGAAGGAATCTTCAAACCTAGAATGTCAGACCTAGAAGGGATCTTGTGGCCATGAAGTTGAGAGTGGTAGGACTAGAACAGAAATGATGAAAGAGCAAGTAACTGGCCCAATGTGACATAGACAGAGATATGCAAATGTTCTTGAGGAGATCAGGGGAAGGCCCCCTCAGTCAGCCTTAGGTCCTTTGAGGGTAGAGACTGACTGGTTGGCTTTTATCTCTGCTCCCTATGCCAGACACAGTGACTGGCACATACCAGTTAACTTATACAACTTTGGTGAATTGAATTCTCTTCCTCAGGCTCCTTCCCAGGGCAGTGCTGCTGCATACTAAGTCCGGACAAAAGCTTATTGCTTGATTAAGCTAGTTAACCCTGAGGGGATACAGCTAAAGCAGAGACCTCACATGTTTGGAGGATAGAAAATGCTGAGTAATACTGACTCTGTGATAATTTTAGGCTAGGCACCCTCCCCGAATCCAAATCTGGAACACCTCTGGCTGCTCCTAGACTTCCCTCCCTTAATAAAAATAATAACAGTAATGGTAACTGTCACTTACAACATAGCATTTTAAGGTTTTCCAAGCACTTTATATATGTCGTGTCTCACTTAGACTAAGGTCCCTTTCATTTGGAACTGTGGATAGAGCACCAGCCCTGGCGTCAGGATGACCTGAGTTCAAACCCAGCTGCAGACACTTACTCGCTGTGTGACCCTGGGCAAATCACTTAACCCTGTTTGTCTCAGTTGCTCATCTGTAAAATGAGCTGGAGGAGGAAATGGCAAACCACTCCAGTATCTGTGCCAAGAAAGCCCCAGATATGGTCACAGAGAGACAGACAGGACTGAAACAACTGAACAACAACACAATATACCTTAAACCTGGGGAGGCTTTTCCATTAGTCATCCCAAACAGAAGGTCTTCAAACAGCTGTCAAATAAATACATCAATCAGAGGCTGAAATGTCTCTTGTCGGTTATGGGGTAGAGGGAATTTCTGTTCCAGTATGGGCTGGCCTAGATGCTCTGAAGACTTCTCCAACACTGAAATTCCGCGATTCTTGTAGTCCTTGGAGTGTTCTCCTTCCTCTAGAGGATGGATAGCCTCATGGTGTGCTATGGTCGATGCATGTAGTATTTGAATGTCCCAGGTAGAAGAGACAGGGCACTTGTGGGTTGGCACTTACTAATAATAATAGCTAACATTTACTTAACACTTACTCAAAGCAAACATTGCTATTTTGTAGGCTATGTCACTATAAGGAGGAGAGACAGATGGAATGTGAGAGAGATGAAAGTGACACATGGTGTAGAGTGCTGGACTGATCACAGACTGATCATCTCTAAGCTAGACTTTTGCATTCAACAAAAGCCACAGCCCCAAGGTAAGACAGGAGATTCAACACCAACGGATTAGAGGCTCCTCTGTGCTTATTGCTGACCTGGAAGGAAAGGAGCGGACAGACTTCAGAGACTTTTGCTGTGCAGTACCTCATTTGCTCATCTGGGCTAGAGCACTTGCAAACATCAGGAATGGTCTGACAAAAATGATGGGGAAATTCAGAAGCTGCTAAATGAAAAATGGGTTTACCAGCAGGACAGTTTGCTCATCTCTAAGAAAGCAATGTTTTAAGTCCATCAAAAGTAAAGTGCAAAAAATGCTTAGAGAGATGCAGGATTCTTGGTTCAATAAGAAGGCAGATGAGATTTAGTTTTATGCCAATGGCAACAATCCAAAGCAATTCTGTGATACCCTGAAGACTATTTATGGGCCAAAGATGTATGGTGTATTTCAATTACTCAGTGCTGATGGAGCCTTACTGATCAGTGATAAGGATATGATCCTTTAGAGACGGGCTGGACGCTTCCATAGTGTTCTCAGCAGACTGCCATCAACCAATGCTGAAGCCACTGACTGTTTACCTTAGGTTGAAGTCAATGCCTCTCTAGCTGAACTTCCAACTGAGGAATAGTACCGAGTGCTATTAGGCTTCTCTCATGTGGCAAAATGCCAGGTACTGATTCTATCCCTGCAGAAATCTACAAACCAGGGGGTCTACTGCTCATATAGAAGCTGATTGAAATCTTCCTAGTTATATGGTAAGGAGTTCAAGGATATCTCCGTTGTCCATCTCTATAAAGGAAAAGGAAATTGGTTGTCCTGTGCTATTCATGGGGTATGGGGGGGGGCGAGGTGGAGTGGTCTTTTTCTTAATCATTGCCAGACTTGCCAGGGTCCTCCTTAATAGACTGATCCTTCACCTGGAGATGAAGCTAAGGCTTCAGAAAGGGCCAAGGAATGGTCGATATGGTGAGAAACGCCAGGAGCAGAACAGATGTACAACATTCATTGATCTGACCAAGGCTTTTAATCCTCTCAGTAGTGAGGGCTTGTGGAAGATCATGATGAAATTTGCCTGCCCAGAGAAGTTTATCAGTATTGTATGCCACTCCACAATGGCATGCTTGCATGGGTTCTGGATGAAGAACGTTGTTCTCATGATTTCCCAGTGACTAGTGGAGTGAAGAAGGACTGTGGGCTTGCTATTCATGCATGATATTTTCCACAGTGTTGTCAGACACTTTCAACAAGGATAAAAGCAGCGTTAAGGTCAGCCTTGAAGTAAATTATTTAACTTGGAAAGGCTATAAGCCAAGACACATGTAGAGGGAGAGTTGGTATGTGACTTTTTATTTGCAGATGATTGTGCATTCAGTGCAATCTCTGAGGATGAGATGCAACAAAGTATGGATCAATTCTCTGCCATTTGTGTTAATTTTGGTCTCACAATCAATACTAAGAAAACAGAGCTTCTCCACAAGCCAACACAACACCATCCATTCGTGGAACCATAGGTTATAGCAAATAGAGAAATTTTGAATGCTGTGGATAAGTTCACTTAGTACACATAGATGATGAGGTTGACACACATATTGCCAAAGCTAACCCAGTGTTTGAAAGGCTCTGAAAGAAAGTGTGAGAGAGAAGAGGTATTAGACTGCCTACCAAACTGAAGGTCTACAGAGCCGTTGTGCTGACTTCATTGTTGTATGCCTGTGAAACCTGGACAGTCTACCAGCACCATGCCAGGAAACGATTTGAATTCAGTTTAAGCTTCCATTTGAATTGCCTTAGGAAGATTCTGATGATCACCCGGCAAGATAAGATCCTTTCTTAAGCTGAACTGCCAAGCATCCAAACTCTATCTAGTGCAGAGAGCACAACTCCAATGGGCTGGCCACATTGTTTGAATGCCAAACGTA